GCATAATTCATCTACACTCCAGTCATTCAGTTTTAGTAAGTTTTACCGCCGCACTGTCAACACAATTAGGTCATAAAAGTGCTGAAGAATCAGCATAATTTAACTACACTCCTGTCATGTTTTAGTAAGTTTTATCCCCGCACTGGCAGCACAATTAGGTCATAAAAGTGCTGAAGAATAGCGGTGTTATAAAGGAGTAATGAACACAAAAAAGAAGGAGGAGAGATTTAAAGGGTGATAGACGTTTGATAGGAAAGAAGGAGCAAACCACACCAGAGCACCTGCCAACCACCCACTGCTCCTGTCATTTGTAGCACAATAAAGCTGCCAACTTAATGAACATGATCAGCACTGTGACAGTGTAACTTAATGAACATGATCAGCACTGTGACAGTGTGACTTAATGAACATGATCAGCACTGTGACAGTGTGAAACCCATGCACTTATGACACCCACTGGTTTCACCTTGTTTGTTTGTTTTAGTAAGGTTTTACGGCGCTCGCATCTGCATAAGGTCATATGAACGCCAAGGGGTGGACGTCAACAGAGAAGTCCAAACGGGGAATCAAGCTTACTCTGCTCACCTCTCTAGCCTCCACAGCCCAAAGTCTGCTTTAACTATCAAGGCACCCCGGAAATAACAGTTCACAAGAGAGTGACAAACATACAAAAGAAGTAGAGGGAAAAAAAAGACGATAGCGTGGATGATGAAAGAAAAAGCAGCAGTTCCCCCTATGTCGTTCAGGCACAATTATGAGTCCACAAGAACATATTAAAATCCCCTCTTTGGGAAAGGCCTAAAAACAAAAAGCACCGCCCCCCCCGGGGGGTGGGTGAGACTGGTATCACCAAACTTGACTTGAGTGAAAGTTGCCCCAAACTCCGACAGAATCATCCAGCAACAGCACAAAACATTCTGTCCGGCACCTACAAAAACGTGAAGACTCACCACTGCACAGGCAGGAGACTCACCTTATCTTCTATCTCCCGTGAAATCTCCAGGTGTCTAAGGCAGCAGACGATGGCCTCGTCAAACCGGCCGATGACCTTCAGGGTGTTGCCCAGGTTGCCCGAAGCCTTGGCTTCCCCGATTTTGTCATTTGTAGTTCTAGAGATTGAAATTCAGAAATATAAATGGGTGTAAAATGTGAAAAAACTTGAAGATGGGGTACAATTATTGGAAACAAAAATTACAAACGGATTGGAAAACAACAACCCACACTAGAAAAACAAAAGGAAACAACACAGAAATTTGAAAAGCCCACGCCTTAAACTATCTGAGGGCAAAAATAAAACCATCAGGAAGGAAAAGAAACTATCTTTTAAAGTATTCAACATGTCTAATCTAAAATTTTTTAAAGACAAAAAAAAAAGAAAAAAAAGAGAGTTATCCAACAGCACAGACATTACCATCAGCAGTTGAATTTCTTCCACTAGAAACACTGAGGATCAGTAACCTTCTCTAAGATGAATTTTATTGAATAGAGCTAACAGGTGTTTACAAGAATATTGATCAGTAAGACAAATTTATAAAAACCACTGTGCAAAAGCTGGAGAGTATACGTTTGATAGTTAAGGAGACATTTGACAATAAGTTGCACCACGGATTTTTGAGCGCACTACGGCCCACTGGCGCCATAGCAGCGAGCAATCCCCAGCCACTCACCTGGCCAGATTCAAGTCGTGTTTATGATACTCCAGAGCCTTAGCGTAGTCCTGCAGGTAGAAGTACGCATTGCCCAGCTGGCTGTAGATGGCACTCAGAGTCTTCAGGTCGTCTGTGCCCGCCTCCACGGCCGCCTCGAAAAACTGGACTCCCATACGACAGTCCCCAGCTTTGCATAGGCGCTCTCCCTCCAAGGCCAGTTCCATACAAGAGCAAGACATGTTCTGGGGTGCCAGGGGAAAGAGAAAAGAAAAGTCCAAACATTTAATGTTCTTCAACTATAATATAAAGTTAGAATTGTCCAAGACAGCCAGCCATTGTTGAGGAGAAAAGAAGTTGTCTTAGACAGGTGGTAACCATTTTGGTCAGTGTCATAATAATTCTTGTTTTAGTAATAAGAGTTTTACGGCACTTTCAACACAATAAGGTCATATAAGCGCCGGCGTGAAACAAGACCTGTTTTTCCTAATTTCAGAATGGTAAAAAAAAGGTAGTGTTAATTGCGACAGAGTGACACTGTGACAACTAACGCGGCGTTAATTGCGACGGAGCTCTTTCGTTGATGATTAGATCTTGATCTAGATCTCACATTATCTCTACCATTTCCGCTTCTCTCAACGTGGTCTGCGCCTGACAAGATGGAAGGCTTTCTAGAGCAGGCATTCAAATCTTGCGACCAATTTGACAAAACTTTCGCTAAATTTAAAGATAACAATTGTATTGCCTTCGGGAAGAAATCATATGAAACTGAAACCGTTGAGAAGGTGGACTTAAAGAGTGTGGCAAAAATCCACAAAGACTTTCTGTACGGTGGAGTCGAGGCAAAAAATATTACAACAAAACAGCAACAACATACACAACAGCAACAAGAAAAAGAAGCGAATGTCTTTGTTTGTTTGTCTGTTAGTTTGGTGTGTGTGTGTGTGTGTGGGGTGTGTGTGTGTATAAGGCCACAAAGCGTGTGCGTTCGTGCGTCTGTGTGTGAGTGAAGGCCTATGTGTGTGTCTGAGTGTGTGAGTGTGCATATTGTGAGTGTGTTTTTCTTTTTTTTTTGTCACAGACTTACTCTTCTGTCGCAATTAACGCTGCATTAATTGTCACAGAGTCATTCTGTCGCAATTAACGCTGCGTAAGATGTCACAGCGCCACTCAGTCGCAATTAAAACGCTACCTTTCAGAATAGATATATATATATAGGCCCTACTGTCCATAGGTGTTGATGATTAAATTGACAAAAACAAAGAGAAAAAATTATGTCATAGCACAAAAGTAGAACCAATTACTAATTTGGTCGTCTACAAAGATGCTACGGTTATTTGACTCTTCGAACGAGCCGAACTACGCCGGTCACCATTTAGTTTTTGCCCGGAAGTTCTTACTAGGCCTAGCCCTACTCGTCTCTCTCTCCCTCTATCTCGTTCTTCACCCCTCCCTCTCTCACTGCCCGCAGACAAAACTGCACGCTTTCAACACAAGAACTAGACCGCTGTAACAATTGTTGGTGCTTTTTCGGTAGTTCCCACCCCTCTTATTTGAGCCTAGATCTACATCTAGATCTATAAGTTTGATGCGCTGCAAGTTAAAATCAAACCTAACAACTTCAAAACATTAAATTACGGTAAAATTCAGGGGGGCACCCCTCTCTATTTTTCATTAGGGCAGGGGGGTAAGCCCCTCTGAAACCCCCCTCCTCTTGGGGCCAAAACCGGCGAATAACAACAGCGGGGTGGGAACTACCGAAAAAGCGCCCGATTGTTTAAACTAGATCTAGAGATTCTAGATCTAGATCTAGTATCACGGTGAACGGCAGAACGCACACCGGGTGAGAATAGCCAAAAGGCTCGCCCTCTCACCCGGAGTGATCGGCCTCAGCCGATGCACCAAGCGGTGAACGCACACCAACAACGCACGTGTGAGAACAGCCAGAACATTTGCTTTTTCACCCTGGAACCCTGGACAGGGTGAGGAGAGGCCTGCTGCAACTGACAACTGGATCTCTCTGGGCTATTCTCACCCGCGGCCTAAAGTAGTTAACTCTTGTCCTGCGTCTGTGCTGAGATGCGAATCTTATCAGCAACCGATATTATGTCGGATGTGCCGAGCAGGCCGCCTGGGTCATTCAGAGTGCACTGTTGGTGTACAGCGCGCGCGCGCCGAGAAACGTGTGTTTTCGCCATGAATTCCGTGGGAGTGTGTTAATCGATGATGAAAATAACGCTCTAGATCTATCTTTCATAGCTTTCTATTATAATAAAGTGTTACAAACACATGAATACCCCCTCTCACAAGCTGATAAGTCGGTGCTTTTTCGGTAGTTCCCACCCCCCTTATTTGAGCCTGACCTACATATAGATCTAGATCTATACACGTTTGATTCGCGGTGAGCTAAGATATCAAACCTAACAACAGCAAAACATTAAATTGTGGTAAAATTCAGGGGGGCATACCCCCCTTCCTATTTTTGTGGGTCAGGGGGGCAAGCCCCCCTGAAACCCCCCTACTCTTGGGGCCAAAACCCGTGAATAACAATTGCGGGGTGGGAACTACCAAAAAAGCGCCGGTCTGATAAGACATTACGAGTAGTTACACCCATTCAAATAAACCTTTCTGGATGCACTTGTTGAATGAGACGTATGCCTCGATTACGAACCAACGCAGACGGTTCTAGAAGAAGGCCACAGACACACACAATCAAGCAGACTGACGCACACACACTTGACCTGCGTGAATGGGGATCCGACTCGGGACCCGAATTTCACGTAAGATGATGCACGGAGCGCGTGCGCTGATCCATGGGCTACACTGATTCGGGACCAGAACGTAGGCGAGGTGCCGAAATAGGCTTATCGGGCGGCCGGCCCCCTAGGACAAGGGTTAATTAAACGGAAGTGGCTATTCTCATCCGGGGTGAGAATAGAAAAACGATCTACCTCTCACCCCGGGTGAGACTTGCCAGCGTGTAGGCTGTTCTCACCCGGTGCGAAACAAGACCTGCTTTTCCTCATTTTGGAATAGTCTATCGGTGTGGATGATCAAATTGATAAAAGCCAAGAAAAAATTACGTTATAGCACAAAAGTAAGCTAATTTGATCGTCTTCAAAAATGCTATGGCTATTTCACTGTTCGAATCGAGCCGAACTACGCGGGTCGCCATTTTGTTTTGCCCGGAAGTTCTCGCAAGATCTACTCCTCCCCTCTCTCTCTCTCTCTGTCTCTTTTTGAATACTGTCCATCGGTGTGGACGATCAAATTGACCAAAACAAAGTAACAAAGTTAAAAAATGATGTTAAAACACAAAAGTAAAAGTAAATTAATTTGGTTGTCTATAAAGATGCTACGGCTACGGCTATTCAACTTTTCGAATCGAGCCGAACTACGCGGGTCGCCATTTTGTTTTGACCGGAAGTTCTCGCGCTACTCCTCTCTCTCTCTCTCCACTGCCCACAGACAAAATTGTACGCTTTTAGTAGGCTACATACAGTTGTAATGGAACGTTTGTTCACAGCACAAAATTCTGCAATTTTTCTGTTATCACAGTGTAGAATTCTGTGGTTTAGGGTGAACGCAAAATTTGTTGGCCTAGATCTAGGCTATAACGGTGAACGCGCACCGGGTGAGAATAGCCAAAAGACTCGCCTGCACTATTCTCATCCCGGGTGAGAATAGAGGTGGCCTAATTAAACATTACTCTTGATGAAACTATCTCTGCAACTGCAGTGCAGGATGGCCCAGTTTTCAGTTCAAGTCTCAAAAATAGAAGTATGGGTCACTCTCTTGATCTGAAAGCTCAACATTTACTAGACTAGATCTAGAACCGCAGGTTCAACTAATTCAAGCATCGTAGTCACTGTCAGTCAGTAAGATGTCATGATTAACTCATAATAACAACAACACAGTGATAGCAGTATCAGTATGACTATGACTATGACGTCCAGAACTGAGAAGTAAATACCTTGCCGTGGATTCTTCGAGCTGTAGGCTACTCCTGTCTAGGTCACAAATGACAATGTGTTTAGTCTTCTGTGTATATGATCAAAAGCAGTTTAGATTTACTACTGCTCTCCTTTCTCTTGTTTTGTTCTGTACTTCGTGCATCTTTCCAAGATAACATTATTATTCTGTTATGGAGGGAAGAACGGAAATCAAAAGTGCAAACCAGATTTTATTTAGGAAAACTGAGAAAACAAAAAAATCGATATGTATGACCAGGATGGGAAAATATATGTGACTTTGGCGGTATTTTTTAGGCTTGATTTTTTTTTTTCTTATTTCCCCGTTTGTTACAATGCCATGCTTATAATTATAACACGTAGAGTTCTATTTAACCACAGAACATTGTTGCAAATCATTTAAGAAAGCTATTTCCTTCAATGAAAATGCTTTATTTTCTTTTCCAAGCATTTCAGAAAGTGTGGTCCCATACCCGGCCCTTCCCGCCTCTCATGGACTCGCACGTCCTGTTATAACGTTGTTCAGATAAACTTGGTACTAACATTATATTACTTGTAAACTTGCAGGTTGCACTTCCATCTAAACTTACTGGAAAGCACAAAGAAATGTATTATCACGTTCAGAATAAAGGCCAACGTAAAGTAGTTTAGTTTAGTAGCTTTCCGGTGAGGACCTAGCTATAACTACTTGGATTTTTACTAAAGTCAGATTGCTTCTCGATTTCAAGGAACGTAACGTAATGGCTTTTTGAAAATATATTGTTCAACCTTCATCAAAGTTAGGCACCTTCACGAAGGCTGAACAACATATTTTTTGTATCTCAATTTTTCGCTATAATATA